TCTAGAGTCTCCTCCATCTGTCAGGAACAGATCAAACTGCAGAACTTCTGGAGCTCGTGGGTTTCTGATGCTTGTCTCACAGTCGCAAACAGGAACCCTAAATTAGGACACACACACAGAGCCTCACCTTACCAGCGCAGAACACACTTTACAAAGAGCTCAGAATCATAAGCAAATCATTAGAATCAGTGAATCATTTACTGGACACTCACTCTGAATGGATCCTTTGAATCAGCGAATCATTTACAGGACACTCACTCTAGAAAGAATCATTTGAATCAGTAACTCATTCTAAACGGATAATTTGAATCAGCGAATCATTTACTGGAGAGTCACTCAAAGTGGATCATCTGAATCAGTGAATCATTTATTGGACACTCTGAATGGATGATTTGAATTTGTGAATCTTTTACTGGAGACTTCACTCTGATCAGAATGTTTGAATCAGTGTATTGTTTACTGAATACTCAGGTTAGTCTAAATGGTTAATTTGAAAAAGTGAATCGTTTATTAGACCCTCACTCTGAATTGATCATTTGAATCAGTGAATCGCTTACTGGACTCACTCTAAACAGATCATTTGAATCAGTAAAACATTTACTGGACACTCACTCTGAAAAGATCATTTGAATCAGTAAATAGTTTACTGATCACTCTAAAGGAATCATGCGAATCAGTGAATCATTTACTGAACTCACTCTAAACAGATCATTTGAATCAGTGAACCATTTACTCTAAACAAATAATTTGAATCAATGAACAATTTACTGGACAGTCGCTCAAAATGGATCAATTAAATCAGTGAATCGTTTACTGGACACTCACTCTGAATAGATCATCTGAATCAGTGAATCATTTACTAGACACTCTAAATGGATCATTTGAATTAGTGAATCATTTACTGGACAGTCACTCTAAATGGATCGTTTGAATCAGTGAATCATTAACTGGACAGTCACTCTAAATGGATCATTTGAATCAGTGAATTATTTACTGGACACTCACTCTAAATGGATCATTTGAATCAGTGAATTATTTACTAGACACTCACTCTAAATGGATCATTTGAATCAGTGAATCATTAACTGGACACTCACTCTAAATGGATCATTTGAATCAGTGAATCATTTACTGGACAGTCACTCTAAATGGATAATTTGAATCAGTGAGTTATTTACTGGACACTCACTCTAAACACAATTTAATTCAGTGAATCATTTACATTGAATCATTTATCATTTTTCTAATTGGATATAAAGTTTTCCCACTTTGTAACAAGTTTAGTATGCGCATTTGCAAATTGATGCACATCTTGACGTTCCCATTAAGCATTTTATGAAATGCAATATTTAAAAATAGGCAGTGTTGTGGTGGCGCAGCTGTTGTTGTTGACTGAAACACACAGTGTGTTCTTTACACTTCACACTGACGGATGGATCTTCAGATTGTTGGAGATGTTTGGCCGACACTACAAACACAAGATCATTTCTCCAGAGATGAACCAGATCTCTGAATGGACGACTGGACACACACACACGCACGCACACACACACACACACACACATCTCCAGTTTCCACATTTAACTCTACCTCATTAGCGCTGATGTCTCTGGCACAGAGCCAAGATGGCGGCTTCCACAAACTCTAAGATTTCAACAGTCGCTCACTGCATTGGAAAAAGCACGAAGACTCACCGGGAAGATTTCATTCGCAGTCTGGCGGTGTCCATAAACACCCTGCGGGAGATGAACTTTAAAAAACCTCACTGACAGAAGCAGAAACACACACACACACACACTTTCATCCCTGCAGCAGTTTCTCTATTTAACATACACTGACATTATTAAAGGAATGGTTCACACAAACATCTAACTGTACTCACTATTTATTTTCCCTCAAGTGATTCCAAACATTTATGAGTTTCTCCTGTTGAACACTAAAGGAGATATTTATAGAATGCCAAAAACCTGTCACCATTGACTTCCATAGTATTTGTTTTTAAATGGTCACTCACCGGCCACTTTATTAGGTACTCCTGTCCAACTTGTTAACGCAAATTTCTAATAAGCCAATCACATGGCAGCAGCTCAATGCATTCAGGCATGTAGACATGATCAAGACGATCTGCTGCAGTTCAGTGCATATTAATCATAATGATCATATCTGAATAAATGCTCAGTGATGTCATATGTGGCATGCACAATTGCTATAATAATAATAATCATCACTCATTTACAAGGACAGAAATTCATACAAGTCAAAAGATGCATGCAAATAATACCACTAAGAGCACAGAAAATAATATCAACTATTATTACAATCAATCATAAAACAATATTAAATATAAAAGATAATATTAAATAAATAATATTATTTATAAAAATATAATATATAAAAATATAAATAATCATAAACATGTATTAATGTCAAATATGCATGCAAATAATAATAAAAATCGTTATGAAAATAAGATTATTATTACAATAAATAATAATTAATATTATTAATAAATATTCAATATCATAAAAGATGATGCTAATAGTAATAATAATGAGGAATTTAAGATATACATATTATATATATCATTTTAATAATGATCAAATTGTATTAATGTCAAAAGATGCATGCAAAAATAATACTAATAGTAAT